TCAGGAGTAGATAAATGGGCCAGAATAAAAGAAAAAGCGATGGCAAAACCGTTTCGGCAGAAAGTTTGGTCAAGTGATCGATCTCATTTGTTTCTTTTGACACATTATAGCTTGGTGCTGAGAATGGCAAGACTCATTAATTATGCAGATTAAGATGCCGAAAAAACGTCTGAGAATGAACCAAGTCCACGGTTCAACGCCACAAATTAATAAAATTACTGTAGCAGAGGACTTCGGACAAGATGCATACAGCATGATCAAGTTGCGAAAATGAGATCAGCCCACATCTATACATAGAAGGGAGACTGTGATCATACCGAAGGCCACACCGTCTTGATCTTCCAATCTTCGGGCTCACTACGTTGGTGAAACGAGATAGAGCGAAATTAACAACCTTTCTAGTTGATAGAGACAAAGCACAAACGATTAAGATTTAATTGTGAGATCAAAAGAATATATTCGAATTCATATATTTTTATTGTAAAAAGTTTATCTTTTCCGTCCTTTTATTAGTAAAAATATAAATAGGATAAGTCAATTTGCTTATGTGATTGACAAATATCAGGTTAAATTAGAAAAAGCATACACTAATTTAAAAACGAATTTAACGACACCTGACCTGGCCAAATTCATCAAGAAGGCCACACATTGAACCAGCAGCAGCTACGGACGAAATCCGGCCAGGCCGAAATTCATTTGATCCACATCGGTCTTCCAAACGGCATTCCTCAGGAATTTGATAGGCATCATGGACAGGTAGCAAGGTCGGACTAGCCACCTGGATTTCATCTACTGGCCATATCTGGCCGTATTCATTGTTACCCCAAGCAAACACCTGGCCGCATTTAGTCAACGCTAGGACGGTGTCCCCAAAGGATGAGATATGACTGCAATTCAAATAAAATAAAAGAATAAGAGAAGATTCTAACAATACAAGAAGATTAGCAATTAAGACAGCTTTTAGCAAATGTTGATTCCTGTCTAATTAGACAAATATTTTTTTTAACTTAGGATAATTAATTATGTTCCATTTAAGCCAGAAATAAAATAGCAAATTAATTTCAGAAAGAGTGGCTTGACAAATAAAACTTGAGGGTATAAGGCAAAACTGTATGTCGAAAAAGGTAGTAAATGGCGCTTAAACAATAGTAACCTAAAATATATCGATTGGCATCTATTAAGCTTTATTAATAAAAACAAGTAAGTTGTAACTCAGTGCTGACGATGCCCGCGAAACGTTTGGAAATGTACCAAATCAATGGTCCGATGTTAGAAATCATGAATACTATAGCAGAGGACACAGGACTAGGTACGCTCAATAGGGTCTCCCTGACGCTCCAACGAAGTTGAGCAAGCACGATAAGGGTAAAGGAGTCTGTGATTAACCAGAAGGCTACGCCTTCGTGGTCTTCTTCTCTACGATCCAGAATAGGAAGTTCTGACCTTGTTTTCGCAACTTGGTCATATTGGCAGGAAGACCTAGAGGAACGCACCTTGTCCGAAGTCCATAGTGTGCATGATAAGAGACAAGTGAAGTCGGTCCTTTAACCAATTGTCCGCTAAACATTTGTGGTAGCTCTCCTGTTCTATCCTATGTATTCGTAATACCTCTTGAATATCACAATTACTGATTTGTTTATCTGAAACTAATTGAAATGCTATTTTGAGCGGATTTACTGAGACCTGTTCACATTTCCCTCTAGTTCCCACATTTCCCCCATTGTGCTGGAAGTGTTGACTCTAGGTAGAAGTTTAGTTCGCAATCTTATAGATCCTATCAATCTACCTCTTCCTCTGTAGGATCCATCTCTTATCGGCCTGGTTAAGTGATTTTACACAATCACTCTACCATATCCGTGCCACTCGAGGTGTTACGTTGCCTCAAACCTTTGATAGCACGTATACACCAGCATCTAAGATCTGGATTTTCAAGTATCGTAGAAGCCTAACCTGATGCTGCAGATTCCCTAATCATTGTGCGGCATATGCACCGAGTAAATAACGGTCAGGCCTTAACTTCATGGGCCAGGTTTGTGATCAAATTTATCTACTAATAGACCATTATCGATGGCCACACCTCTCACTATTGTATCCATAATCTATATCTATAACATTCTCACTTCCTAGTCTCTTCTGTGCCGACTCCCAAATATGAAAGTCTTATTTGCCTTAAATAGGTTTACGGTAGAAGTCTCCTCCTGGTTTCCAATTATTCCTCTGCGGTCTCCATGCGATTTATTTTCCTAAAATTTAAAATATAATCTTGTTCTGGTCGTCTTCTTTTTGCAGATCTTGGTCGCCAATTGTGCCTTTTTTAAGTCTCCAGTTCATTATATCGCTTACTTTCAGGATTTCAAGAGCTTCTCGTATCTTGCCTTTTCATTATATGCAACCAGCCTTTCTGTCGATTTTATGTCCCGTTCATGCAATGCGCATCGCTATTTTGGATCTTTCCGTTCTCATTCTCCTGCAGAGTTTTTGGTGTAGATTCTGGCTCATATGATTTAATCATATTTACTAATTATTCACAGACCGATTGATGTAAATACATTATTTTTTCTATGTCTTATAAGATATACGATATAGGGCATATTATATGTTATATAATAAGATAAGGCATTACAATAAAAACTAGTCCTATTAAAAAGCAAAATAATTTAGTTATAAATTTATGGAGAAAACTCGAAAATGATGATCCACACAAGTTAAGGAGAAATTTTGAAAAATCTTATTAAATTAAAATAAGGATAACTGGTGTCAGTGGGCATGATATTAGTCCAGATAGAAAGACAGGAAATAACGTTTTCCTACTCATTTGAAAAATTTATATGCAATTCTGTGAACTTTCATAAAACATAAATGTAAGGATGATTTTCAAAATAAAGTGCACCTTATTCAAATTTTAAAATAACTAAATTTCGTAATTTAAGAAATGCTCACACAACGTTCAGGCTATTTAAAAGGCCTCCTACACGTGTTAGGCTATCCACTTCTCGAT